ATTTTTTTATTTTGAAGGATAGTACTCTATTCATAAATTAAATTCCTGTGTAGTTTTGCTCCTTTATTGTTATAACTGTAACCCTAAAAATTTATCATTAGTGCCCCATAGACCTTTCCTTTTCTCATATGTGTAATATTAATGTCTGTAAGTCCATTTCTATTCATAAATGCTTATATAATAACTGGCCAGATATGGGGTCCTATTTGGTATAGACTGAAGGATTTTTTAAAAATCCCCTGTGGCCTGTAGAATAGATCCAGTCCTGTTAACATCTCAGGTTTATGGATATTTTTAATCTGTGGTTAAACTGTAAGCAATTTCCTCTTATGTGTATTGGGAGACCCCTGTTTTAAGGGTTGAGTTGCAACTAGAGTTGAGCCCTAACCTGTGCACAGTTAAGGCCCTCATTACAGAAACACCGGGACCTGCAGCCGGGGTCTGTGATGTCTTCCTCAGGGTTCACGGACGGGCCTCCCCCTGGTCCTCAGGTTTCATCTGAGGCATCTGGATGGGAACTCAGTGTGCCAAACAGTCTTAGGTGGTAGAGGAAGAAGTGGAGGGTCTGTTAATCCTATGCTGAGAATATTTGGGTCAACATAAACCTCAATCACTTCTCTGGCCTTTTCCAGATCCGGGACCTGTGCAGCTCCCCTAAGGAACAGCAGCTCAGGAAATTCGTTCCCTACTGAGGAGGTGGAGGAGAGCAAGGTGAATGCTGTGGTCATTTCTACTGTAAAGAGTTTGGGAAACTTAAATCTCTTCATACAACACCCTCTCCTGGCTTCATCTCTTATGGTTTGTTCTGTGATGTCTCTACTGGCTCGTTTACTTTTTGAAAGCAAACTTCCTCAAGACCCTGAAGTATTCTCCCTTCCCATCATCTTTGGTGGCACCTTCAGAAGCCATAAGTCCTTAGAGGCTGAGCCCCAAAGGGCTACCCCTGTTGCGTTTCTGGAAAGAACGTGAGGAGAATGACACTTAGCCCCACCAGGAATCTCAGGGCACAGCTGATACCTTCCTGATCTCCTTTACTCGGGAATGTTGCTGGTTACTGAACCATGAATTTTTTCTGCTGTTGTTATTTTATTCCTCCCCTGTTTTGGGTTAGGTGAATGACCTGATGTTATCCGCATAATTGAAACATGTAATAAGTCATTCCTCCGAATTTATATTCTGTGCTTCATACATTTTTAATGCTCCTAGACAAAGTATGTTGTTGCTGTTAGGTGCCGTTGAGTCGGTTCCAACTCATAGTGACCCTGCATACAACAGAACAAAATACTGCCTGGTCCTGTGCCATCCTCACAGTCATTGCTATGTTTGAGCCCATTATTGCAGCGACTCGTCAATCCGTCTCGTTGAGGGTCTTCTTTTTCTCTGACCCTCTACCTTACCAAGCATGATGTCCTTCATGCTGAGAGGAATTCTTCATCCCTGGAAAGATTCAACAATAGCACGTTTCCATTCATCATGAAATTTACAATGAATATACTTTATGTATTTATATAATATACTTTATATTGTATATGTTATATACTTTATATTATATATATTATATAAATATATAAAGTATATTCATTGTAAATTTCATCAGAGCTGGAAGAATGATGAATGATGAAATTTACAACCACTGTTTGAACACACCCTGCGGCTCCGGGTCCAAAGGAAAAGACCTGGCGATCTGCTCCCGTAAAGATCACAACCCAGGAAACCCTACAGGGCAGTCCTGCTCTGTCACATGGGGTTGCTATGGGCCAGAATGGACTTGACAGCACCCCAACAATGGCAACAATCTGTGGTGGGGTCAGTGGGAGGCACAGAGTTTTCTGGCACTGATGCTGCTCTTTTGAGACCTACCTGGTGGAGGGAAAAGTGCCAGGTGCTGACACCTCCACATCGTTGCGCTTCAGTTTTTGTAGCTGGTGGTGCTTTGGTCTGTCATATCCAAGTGTTTCCAAACTTTCTGCTCTTTTCTTTTAACTCTTTCTGCTCTTCAGGTTCATAGGGCTGAAAGAAGGCCCCCCCCTTTCCCAGGACCACCCTTCAGGCGCTGCCCTATCAGACGCCCTCCAGCCCTACTCGTGGGCTATGGGCCACCTCCACCACCCTGGTGGTCTCCCAGGCCTCAGCCAGAGCCTCTGCCTCCTCCGCCACTTGGTAAGCAGATCTGAATGGTATGAATTGACTAGTAAAGCCTATTCGTCTTTTCTCTCATCCATTCCTGGCAGAAAAAAGTCCCAGTTGCTACTGCAGGGTTTTTCCATGCAAGGGTAAAGCGGAATGGGACATTGTAACTTCCTCAAGTTTCTCCAGACACACGACCAGCTGCGTCATCTCCCCATAAAGAGCTGGGCAGCAGGTGTCTCTTGTAGACAAGGGAAAAGGTTGTTTCTAGAAAGACAGAACTGTCAGTTCTGCAGGTGTGTCTTGAACATCAGCCATACACCTGGCTCTGTAAGGGAGAAGACACACAGCTCATGTCAAGAGCTAAATATACTTTATAGGAGAGAGTCACATACCTAAAATGGCAGTAAACATGTGATGACCCTTACTGGTGGCATCAGCGAAGGGCCCTGAGTACAATAGATGGAGGCGTGAGTACCCCAGGAATAAAGCCGAGGGTGGGAAGAGTAGGAAGAACTGAGTAAGTGCCAAATGGATGTTTGTCGTATTTGATTGAGGTTCTTCAGTCTGATCTTATTTTTCATCCCCAGCAGGGCAGGCCCCCGGGGCAGGGAGTGTGGAGGCAGTGTGAGGCCCACAGCGGAGCTGCTGCTGATTTCCTTGTTGCCATAAAGCCATTAATGGGAAATAAAGTTTATTTTTAACTTGGAATTTTGAAGTGTCTGGATCTGTGGAAGGTTAGGGCAATTGTTCTAACAGGATACATTGCCTTTGTGAATTTATGATGCCTAGTGAAATAAAAGAAGAGACAGGACCTCGTGCTGCCGAGCGCGGCTGCCTTGGCCTGCAGATGAGTCAGATCCTCAGCGGTGAGTCAGGGCTGTTCACGTCGGCCCAGCCGAACCTCTCCTCCACCTACCCCAGCACCCCTAGTTACCATCGCTGAGCTCCCTTGGAAGTCAGCTTGGACCTCAGATTGGAGTCCCCCTGCCCTCTAGGTGGGGACGCTGGGAAAAGCTGTACTGGTGCCGGCAAGAAGGGGCGGGAGCAGGCAGTGAAGCCACAGGAGACCGGCAGGCCACTGGAGGGGCTCGGAAGGCAGACTCCCTCCATGTCTTTTCTTTTCTGGGTGGGTGGCTAGGCGCCCACAGCAGGAGGGTGGAGGGTCAAACAGAAGCCCCAGCGATGGGGTAGAGGTCCCAGGGGCCCCTGAAGCCTGGCAGGGCCTGGTCCCTGGTGGGTGGGGCTGGTCCCTGGGGCTTCCTCCTCAGGCTTCAGTTTCCAGGCAAGCAATGAATTCAGCAGTCTGGAAGGGGCCACCGAGGGCAGGGGGTGCCTTGGGCACTGGAGTCAGGGGAGCCCCAGCCTGCTGGCCAATTCTGATATAGACCCATTTCCTGATGGACATGGAATCCTGAGGCTTGTCACTCACACCCTCCACTACCCCGAGTCTCAGGGTGTCTGAGACCCATACTCTTTGCCAGCGCACTTTTTTTGAGCACCTATGGCACGCTTTGCCAGTACGCCTTTATTGAGCACCTACAGCACACTCTGCCAGCATGCCTTTATTGAGCACCTATAGTATGCCAGGCAGGCCTGTGCTTGGGGTATAAGAAGAACAAGACCCAGACCTTCCCTTGAGGAGCTCCCACTCCAGCGGGGAGACAGTTACCACAGAGAGAGGCAGGCCGAGGGCCCAAAGCCATGGGTTTTGTGGAAGGAGGCTGACAGGTTTGGCACTGTGGAGGATGAGTTGGAATCTCCCACCTCTACTTCTTGGCTCTTGTTCTCCCTGATCCTCAGTTTCTTCAGGTGTGAAATGGGGTGCTGGGTTTCTGATGTGGTGATTACATGGTGCACCTGGTGCCCTTAGCACACAAAAGACCGGGAGTCCCTGATATCTTAGTGCTCAATCTCTTCACTGGAGAGTAGCCTCAGAGATAGGAGGAGGAGGCCAGGATTCTACTCTCAGAAGAATTTAGGAGGCGAGAGCAACAGAAATTGGGGACTTATTGGGTAGGGCTGTCACCAGGGACAGAAAGGGAACAACCCATCATTGTGTGCCTCGATGGTCATCTCTTTGCAGTATCAAGCGCCTGCTGTGGATCCCTTCCTCGCCTCACAGAAATGAAGAGGTGAGAAGCCTGAGGCAGGATGGGTATGCAGTGCTGGGATTGCTTGGACACAGCTAAAGCCTGGCCTCCCTCCCCCAACAGTCCAGGCCAATCACTTACCAGCACCCTCTGTGTGACCTTAGACCAATCCATGGCTACCTCAGTTTCCCCACTATGGCTGGGGAGAGGCTAGGGATGAGGTGTGTACAGAGTTGGTTTTAAAGTATATCAGGAGCCAAGATCCCTACTTTTTAAATTATTATTATTATTTGAAGGTAAATTCAAGTCCTCTGCCCCTTGTGGTTTGCCCTGGTGAGCTCTGGGGGGCTGCGGCTCCTCATACCAACATCACCTGCGCATCTTGGCTGCACGTTTACTTTATGTCTGGGGCTGTGCTAACGCCTTGCGTCTACGGTTCTTCCCAGTCCGGGCCCCGCGCGCCCATTCCACGGCCACGAACGCCGAGGCCCGGAGGGAGGGAAGGCCCGGAGGGAGGGACGCTCGCGAGGCCCCAGGCTCCAGCCCCGCTCCAGCCCCGCTCCAGCCCCGCTCCAGCCCCGCTCCAGCCCCGCTCCAGCCCCGCTCCAGCCCCGCTCCAGCCCCTGCTCGGCTCCACCCATGCCCTGCGGAAGGGTGAGGCGGGGGAGGGGGATGAGGCGGGGCGGGGCAGAGGAGGGGGCGGGGCCGGGCGGGGCGTGGGGCTCTGCGGGGCATGGTGGCTACACTCGCTACCAGACTGCCCCACACCTGCCACCATCCATGGGCCGGCTGCCTCTGTGCCTGCCAGTAATGCTGCTCCTGCTGCCGCTGCTGCCGGACCTCGGGCCCAGGCCCGGCGCGGGTAAGTGAGAGACCAGCCCTTCTGAGGACCCAAGACTCCCCCAAGACGTCCTCAGCCCTGCCTAGGCACCCAGGAGCCCTGCCTCCACACCCCTCTGCAAGGGCTCCAACTCACTGCAGTCCCTCTCCAGCCCTCTCTAGGGACCCTCATTCATTCATTCCTTTCCTGGCACCCAGGAGCAGGACTCCCCCATCCCCTCCCCAGGAGCCCACAGACGTCCACAGCAGACACCTTTCCCACTCATTATAACCCTCTGCAGCTGCTCCCTAGCTGAGGGTCCTGTGAACTGACCCTTCACTCTCTCCATCCTTGGGGCCTGAGGTGGGACCACCAGGACACCAGAGGCTGACAGGGGCAGCGGCAGAAGGCCCCAGGCCCACCTGAGGGAGGAGGACAGACATACTGCCTCCTCTCACCCTGAGGCTGGCCCTCAAAGATGTCCCCTCTGTGGCTGCGTGTTCCTGGGGTGCACACACACACTCACACACGCACACAATCCGTGGGAAGTGTACAGACACAACGAGCATGGAGATGCACAGACAAGAGCCACCCAGACTCAGCTGGGCACATGGGTGTGCAGACCCAGGCAGAGACACTGCGGGGAGCAGACACACTCAGGGTCACCCGAGGCAGCCCCCAGGACAAACTGGCACACGATGGACTCACGCACACACAGACATACACTCAGGGTCACCCAAGACATCCCCCAGGGCCACCTGACACACGATGGACACGTGCACACACAGATCCACACTCAAGAACACCCAAAGGAGCAAATTCACATGCACACATGAATCCAAGACAGAGACACACACAGACACTCCAGCAGGGACCCACATTCCCACATACACACACATACACAGGCACGGAGACACACAGATTTGCACCCATGACTCACACTCATTTACTGACACAGACATGGACACACAAACATGCACACACACACACACACACAGATTCACACTCAGGAACACCCACAGGGGCAAATTCATACACAGATTCTCTAGCAGGGACACACACAGGCATGGACACAGCACGCAGGGATTTGTTCAACTGGCCCACAGCGATTCACTGACACAGACACGGAAATGCACACAGAGAAGAGCACAGAGGTACCCACGATAGCCACACAAGGGAGAACACAACACACAGTGGATACACGCACAGACTCAGGAAGTCAGATGCACTCGGAAACGTGCAACAGACTACACAACCCAACACACACACACACCACAGAGACCCCTGCGCCACAAGGAGGCACAGACGGCCCTGGCCCTCCCAGCGAAGGCTGCCGCGGGCGTCAGGGACAACAGACCCCGGCATTACCTCCCCCACCTAGGTTGGCACGAGAGTGTTTTCCTGGCTCTAAACCCAGTGTTAGGTGTCTGCTCTGCGCCAGGCCCTCTGGAGGGCTGTGCCCACAGAGTGGCAGGGTAGTGTGGGGAGGGCTTATGGGGACAGCTTCAGGGGATGGTATTAGGACTGAGACCCTTTCAGGGGTGCTTAGAGTGGGATGTTCCACGGGGCTTGGTTGGGTCAAAATAAGGGACCTTTCTGGGTGCTCACCGAGTGCTAGGGTACACAGGGCTGCCTAAGCCTTTGATCCGCCCTCAAGGAGCCCCCAGGCTGGAGGGAGCACTCCCATAAGCAGACAGAGTACAGTGTGACAGGAACCACTGTGGTTACTGGGGGCGAGGAGGACTCAAGGGAGGTGACACCTGAGCCGGGTGGGGGTGGGGTGAGGACATTCCCAACACAGGGTGTATGTGAGGAGGGTGTAATTTGAGGAACAGGAAATGATCCCACGTGCCCCAAGTGGAGGGTCCCTGTGGAGGGCGTTGAGAGAGGACACTGGGGAGGAGGAGGGGACTGGCTTCCTGAGATTCCCCTGGGGCAGCAGGGCCTCTGAGCTTTATTCCCAGAGCAGAGGGAGCCACGGACAGTTCTAGGCACGAGTGCAGACTGTTCAGAGCAGCATTTGGCTCCTCCTGGGAGAGTGAGGACTGGTCACCCAGAGAAGGTGAAGATGTCAACTGTGAAGTTATCTTTACATTTTCTGTCTATTTGATCCATTTCTATTACCCCATTCTAATATGCTATTGTTTCACTGAGAAAAAAAAATACTGGAATTAATTTTGTTCTGGACTCTTCAAAAAAGTCAGTGTGATGAAAACGTGTTCTAGATGAAAAGAGGAGGAAGAGACGGGACAACCAAATGCAAGGCATGAATCTCCATCAGATGGTCAATCCCCAGTCAGGCTGCGAGTACAGGCTGGATCAGGCAGCCTGGGCTGGAGTGGCCACTCTGCCACTCACTGGCTGTGTGACCTGGGCTGGGTCCTTTGACCTCTCTCGGCGTCAGTCTCCATATCTATAAATGGGACAACAGTTGCCCATGAGGAGGCTGTGACATTGGCATGAGATGATGCCTGTAAATGGGGAGCCCAGTGTCTGGTACAGGGTGGGGTTCAAGGAATTGCATCCCCTGTCACTGCTACCGTGGTTGCTGTGACCAAAGGCTGGAGTGTGGACTCATCGCCTCACCAGAAGGAGGGGCCACTCTGGGATTCCAGGCCCCCAGGCCACAGTGGATTTTAGAGACCCCTGAGCCCAAGCAGTGGCCCCCACGATACCCCTCAACTCAGTCACCCTGGCAAGGCCCCCTTCCCTTAGGTGAGGAGGAAGGAGCCCTGGGTTGGTCAGAAGCTGGGATCGGACCCCAGCTCAGAACCTTGTTGGACCTCCTCTTTCTTACCTGTCAAATGCAGGAGTTCCCATCACTCCACTCCTATTGTGCCCACTGTGTGTCTGGGGGGACCTGAGATTCCGAGAAATGGCTGGGCTCGGGCACTGGGCCTCCCAAATGGGGGAGGAAGCCCAGGCAGTGAGAATAAGAGCAGAAGTAAAGGGCCCTGAGCCAGAGTCTGGAGGGGAGTTGGGGTGGGGAGCCCCAGGGGCTGGGGAGGCCCCACAGAGGGCTCCTTCTTGGTGGCAGGGACCTTGTTTAGTTCATCTCGGATGCCTAGAGTCCAGCACCAGGAACTGAACAAGTGCTTGGTGGATGACATGAATTCTGACCAGGTCTGAGGGCAATCCAGGAAGAGGGAGCAGCCTGTGCAAAGGCCCAGTGGTGTGACCTCTCAGGTGCTGGGGCTCTGGCTTGTTCTCCCTTCATGGCTGCCTTGAGCATAATGATAGTGATACTCAGAGCTTGTTAGGTGCCAGCTGCTTTACATGCACCACCATAACCCTCCATTTCACAGATAAGAAAATCAAAGCACAGAGAGGTTAAGTAACTTGTCCAAGGTCACACAGCGATGAAGTAGGAGAAGCAGGATTGAAAGCCCACCAGTCAGGCTGCAGCATCCAGGCCCTTCTGAGGCTGGTGCCCTCCCCTATCCCACGGCTAGGGCAGCCCTGGCCTGCAGCCATCTGACCTTTGCTTCCTCCTCAGCCTCCAGGAAGTCTCATGTGCACCGGCGTGGGCTCCTTGAGCTCGCGGGGACCCTGCAGTGTGCCAGCACCCTCTCTGCCCTGGCCTACATAAGCTATGGTTGCCACTGTGGCCTGGGCGGCCAAGGCCAGCCCCGGGACACCACAGACTGGTGAGTGCATTCTCGGGGCCAGCCTGGAGTCCCCCACCCTCTGTGGGGTTGGTCGAGACCTGTGAGGAAATACCCAACAATGAGGTGAGGAATTGGCCCAGGAAGGTGCAGAACATGGTACTGCCTTACAGGCAGAGGGCTTCCTGGCAAAATGTAGCCAATAAGGCCAAACCCTGGAGCCACTGCCCCACCCTGGCCGTGAGGTGGTTGCTTTGTCTGACAAATAACGTAAAGGTGATGAGCCTTACAGTGCTCCAGGGACGGCCGTGAGCAACCCTTGAAGCCTCGCAGATGAGGCAGCTGAGGCACAGATAAGCTAAGTAACTGGTCTACAGACACAAAGGGAGTGCAAGGTGGGAACTGGGATTTGAACCCAGGACGTTGGCTCCTGACCATTTCACTTCCTACCATGGGAGAAGTGCTTGCTGTGTGCAAGACTGTGGGCTAAGAGCTTTCCTGACTCCTCTTACTCCCCAACAGCTGTCCTGGAAACAGGCACGATGGTCTCCCCATGTTACAGATGAGGACCCGAGGCTCTGAGAGGTGCAGCCCCTTACCTGTTTGCACGGCTAGCAGGAGGCAGAGTGCACAATTTACCTGCCTCTTTCCTAGCTGGGAGGATGTGATTGTCACTGGCCAGCATTTTCTTACTCCTGAGCCTTTGATGCTCCCGCTGCCAGCCATGACCTCCCCGTGCTGGTTGTCTGGCTCCTGCACATCCTTCCAATTGCAGTTCAGGCATCACCCCCTCCAGGAAGCCCTCCCTGATGCCCGGTTGGGCCTGACACTTCCTCTGGGCTCCCAGAATCCCCTCCTCTTACCCACATCCCAGCTGTTCTCACCATGCATGGACTGTCTGGGGACTTGTCCGCCTTCCCGTGACCCCTCAGCGAGAAGGCTCTGTGAGGGCAGGGCTCGACTGAGAGTAGAGGCTGATGGGTGGATGGAGAGATACCACTGAGTGAATGAGTGAATGATTGACAGGGTTAAGGGCATTCATGGGTGTTGGTCAAGGAATTGTTCAACAGTAAATGTTTACTGAGGTCCTACTTTGTACCAGGCTGTGGGCTGGGCGCTGGCGACGTTGTGGGGAACAGGATAGACAGGGACTGCCCTCCTGCAGCTCAGGGTCTGTGAGGAGGACAGATGCTAATCAGTCTTCTCCCTAAAGAGTGAGTGACTCAGTTAAAACCTGTCCTGAAGGGAAACAGCATGGTTTAAAGAGAGAATGTAACATGGAGGCCATTCCAGCCTGGGGAGGTGAGGGTGGCAGCAGGGGGCAGGAGGACATTGCAGGGTGGGGTAGAGTGGAGGGCCTGAGACCTGAAGGAGGAAGACTGGCCGTGAAGTTGTCCCAGGCAAAGTCAGGAGGCAGGAGGGGCTTGGCTCACTCCAGAAACAGAGAGGAGATCAGCCAGGCTGCCTCTCAGACACTTGGAGAGGGAGGCGGGGCTGGGGGAATGAGGCAGTGCAGGGCACACTGGGGCCAGCTGAATTATCTCCTAGAGAAGGGGGTTGTTGGGGACAGAGCTTGGACCAGTGGACGCTGGCCCCTTGTGGGGACTGGACTCACCCGTAGTCCTAACACAGGAGGATGGCAAGCAGAGGCACCCTGACTTCACCCACCTGTTGATCTACTGTCTGCTGCCCGCAGGTGCTGCCACCGTCATGACTGCTGCTATGCGGTTGCCGAGCAGGCTGGCTGCAGGCCCAAGCTGGACCGCTACTCCTGGAAGTGCATGGATAAACGCGTGGTGTGTGGTGAGTGCCCAGGGCCACACGCACCAACCACCTGAGCATCCCCTGGGCATCCTGGCAGAGCCAGGTGACCTCTGTGCCCTCCCTGTGGTAACTTCTGGCTGCCGCTAACTCTCTGTACGCCACCCCTTGGGTTCGTCTGATATAAGTGATCTTAAACACTGAGCACTTCCAAACAAAAACAAAGAAACCTATTTTTTCCCTGTCTGGATGAAAAGGAATAAGACAGAAGTGACACACCAGGGATAAACAACCTAAATGTCTATCAGAAGGGGACTGGCTTAAATAAGCCTATGATACATCTACACTGTGGAATATTCTGCTGGAGGAAGATAAGGTAGGACCTCATGCTGACACGGAAACATATTAAGTGAAGAAGCAAACTGCAGAATGACTTGTCCAGCACAGTACCATTTGTGTTAAAAAAAAAAAATTAAAAAAAAAACCCAAACCTTAAAAACCCAGAAACTTGCAAAATAGTACCATACTACTCTCTATGGCTATATTTCACCCCGCTCCCCCCAAAAGAAAAGAAACCAAACCAGTTGCTGTCAGGTCGATTCTGACTCATAGCAACCCTGTAGGACAGTGTAGAACTGCCCCATAGGATTCCCAAGACTGTCATCTTTACAGGAGCAGACTGCCACATCTGTCTTCCAAGCACTTAAACCACTGCGTCATTAGGGCTCCTAAAGATGAGCCATCTTAGAGGCATGATCAGGTTGAGGAAGGTGATGGTGAAAGGGAACATAATGTTCTCAGTAATAGTTCCATTAAAAAAAAAAACAACAAAAAACAGAGAATGTCTTCATGACTTCTTTGTGAATTAAAATTTTTAGAAAAGGGATACACACCCTGAAGTGTTTAAGGGAGAAGTGCACTGATGTCTGAAACTTACTTGAAAATGCATCAAAATAATAATAATCATAAGATGGATAGAGGGATGGGCAGATGGAGAGGTAAGCAATAAAGCAAAATGTCAACAGTAGACTCTGCATGGTGAATATATAGATATTCACGAACAGTTCTTTCAACTTTTGTGTATGTTTGAAAATTTTCCAATAAAATGTTAGAAACAAAAGAAAGGAAAGAGGATGGCGAGAGGGCCCCACACTTCCATTTCCTCAACTCCAGCTGCAGTATGGGAGCCTCTCACGGGTGCAGGCCAGCTCCAACTCGGCGTAGTGTGATGACCCTCCTGGACCTTGGTTCTAAGGCCCAGCCCCAAATGTCCTGCTCCAAGGAGGGCCAAAGGCCTCAGTCAGGTGTCATCCTCGTGGCTGGGAGGACAGCAGGCCCAAGCTTAGAATTTGGACTGAGTCTCTCCTCTGAGTGCCCTTCTCACAGGTCCTTCCTCCTTGAGCCTGACCCAGGTTGGGACCAACCGGGGCTCTGAAGCCAACCTGCCACTTACCCGATAGGAACCCTGGGAAAACCCTTTCCCCTCCCTGGACCACTAACCCCTCACCTCTGCCAACGGGGATGATAGTACTGCAAGCTGGTGGCCCCTGGGCCATGTTCGTCCTGGAGATGTTCTGCTTCCATTCCCTGCACAGTGTTTGGAAAATCATTTTGAGCCAATACTTTTAAAATCAAGATCTTTCACATAAAAAAAAAAATCTGAATTTTTGAATGTCTGAAAAATTGGCGTCTCTAACAACATTAGACCCATGTGGCAACAATTGGTTTGAGCCGAGAGAGGCTACCCAGTCCCCACCGTGCCCTATTGTCTGTCTGACTTTGAGGGCGAGTGTTAATTACCATATTTCATTGCACTTATGCTGTTGAGTTTGCTATGGAAGAGAAATATTTCTAAAAAACCCAGGAAAACAGAAGGTAGACCAGAGCGCTGAATGCTTCAAGAAAAAAAAGTGAGTCCATTGATTTGTTGAAATGGAGACTATTCCTGTGTATTCCCTCTCCCCTTGCTTCACTCATTAAACTGCCTCCTCTGATGGATATCTCGTCTGCAACTCCTGGCCTAGTGACCAACAGCTCAGTCAGTGACTCAGCTTCTGCCGTGGTTCATATCTGGTTGTGTAACGTTGGGCAAGCCCTAATCTCTGAGAGACTGTTTCCTCACCTTTAAAGTGGGGACAAAAATCACGCCTCTCTGTTCTGAGAATAAAATGACACAGTGCCTCACGAAGAGTAAATGTCATTAAATATCTGTTGAAGAAATGACCCAACACAGAACTTTCAGTGAGAATGATAGGGCAGTATTCCTGAATGTGAATGTGTAAGACACAGGATTTGAGGGAGCACAGGAACACAGCTTTAAATGTAACCCTGAGTCCCAAAAGGAGAAAATGATTTCTCTTTCTATTCTTTTTTAATTCTTCTAATTTTGTGGGGAAGCCCTGGTGGCATAGTGGTTAAGTGCTACGGCTGCTAACCAAAAGGTCGGCAGTTTGATTCCACCAGGCGCTCCCTGGAAACTGTATGGGGCAGTTCTACTTTGTCCTATAGGGTCGCTGTGAGTCGGAATCGATTTGACGGCAATAGGTTTGGTTTTTTTGGTTTTAGTTTTGTGGAGGAGAATGTGTCAGTTTGGTGCCACCTTAACTTTGACACCTCTCTAACACTTGCTGATCCCCTCTTTTTTATTGAGGTGACATTCGCATAACATAAAATTAACCATTTTTTAATTAGTTTTTTTTTAATATTTAATTTTATTTTGGGTGAAAATATAAAAATTAACTATTTTAAAGTGTACTACTCAGTGGTATTTGGTGCATTTACAGTGTTGTCGAACGACCACTTCTATCTTGTTTCAAACCATTTTCATCACCACTAAAGAAAACTGTGTACTCACCATTACCCATCCCCCAACTCCTGGCAACCACCAATTTGCCTTCTGTCTCTATGGATTTACCTCTTCTGGATATTTCATATAAATGGAATCATACCATATGTGACCTTTTGCATCTGGCTTCTTTCACTTAGCGAAATGTTTGGGAGGTTCATCCATGTTGTAGCATGTATCACTATTTCATTCTTTTTCATGACTGAAAATATTCCATGGTATGTACACACAAACATTTTGTTTATCCATTCATCTGTTGAATGGGCGTTTGGGTTGTTTCCACCTTTTGGCTGTCATGAATAGTGCTTCTATGAACATTTGTGTACAGGTATTTGTCTGAGTACCTGTTTTCAGTTCTTCTGGGTATATGCCTAGGAATGAAATCGCTGGATCATTTGGTAATTTTATGCTTAACTTTTTGAGAAACGGCTAAACTGTTTTGCACAGCGGCTGATCCATTTTACATTCCCACCAGCAGTGTATGAGTGTTTCAGTTTCTCCACATCCTCACCAACATTTGTAATTTTTTGGTTTTTGTTGTTGTTTGGTTTGTTGTTTGTGGGGTTTGACGTGGTATTTCACTGATTTCATTTTCATTTCCCTGACCACTAATGATATTGAGCATATTTTCATGTGCTTGTTGGCCATTTGTATATCTTCTTTGAAGAAATATCTGTTCAGGTTCTTTGCCCAATTTTACATTGGATTGCTTGTCTTTTTGTTGTTGAGCTGTAAGAATTTTTTATATATTCTGGTTAACCAATTATTTCTTCTCATTCTATAGATTGAATCTTCACTTTTGTCTTAGTCATCTAGGGCTGCTATAACCGAAATACCACAAGTGGATGGCTTTGATAAAGAGAAATTTATTCTCTCACAGTCTAGTAGACTATAAGTCCACATACAGGGCGTCAGCTCAGAGGAAGACTTTCTTTTCTCTGTCAGATCTGGTGGAAGATCCTTGTTATCAATTCCCCTGGACTAGGAGCTTCTCCCACAGGAACCCTGGGTCCAAAGGACGTGCTCTGCTCCCGGCACTGCTTTCTTGGTGGTATGAGGTCCCCCACTCTTTGCTCGCTTCCCTTTCCTTTTATCTCTTGAGAGATAAAAGGTGGTGCAGGCCACACCCCAGGGAAACTCCCTTTACATTGGATCAGCAATGGGACCTGGGCAAGAGTGTTATGTCCCACCCTAATCCTCTTTAACATAATCTAATCTTGCCTCATTAACCACAGGCAGAGATTAAGATTTATAACACATAGGAAAATTATATCAATCACAAAATGGAGGACAACCACACAATACTGGGAATCATGACCTAACCAAGCTGACACATATTTTTGGGAGACACAGTTCAATCCGTGACAACTTTCTTGATAATGTTCTTTGGTGCACAGAAGTTTTTAATTTTGATGAAGTCCAATTTATCTATTTTTTTCTTTTGTTATTTGTGGTTTTGGTGTCATATTTAGGAATCCATTCCTAAATCTAAGGTCATAAAATTTAACCCTATGTTTTGTTCTAAGAATTTTATAGTTTCAGCTCCTCTATTTAGGTCGTTGACCTATTTTGACTTAATTTTTGTATATGGTATAAGGTAGGGATCCAACTGTATTCCTTTGCATATGGCGATCCAGTTGTCCCAGCACCATTTGTTGAAGAGACTATTCTTTTCTGAGGATCTCTTTTTAAAGAAGAGAAAGAGCAGTCTCCTATCTATCTGTCTGTCTATCTCTTTTTAACCACAGCAACATGTATCTAATGAGGATAATTGTCACATAATCCATTCTAGCACAACAGTGTACATTTTACATGACTAGCTACTACTAAAGTAGTAGGACTGGAGTTTGGGCAGTAGACTCTAGTTATCTGAAGAACTAGAAATGTCGGTGGTGGGGGGCAGGTGGGGCTGTGAACAGAACAACCAATAGTCTGGATGGAAAACTGGTTTCATCACTTTAAGCCAATGACTTGAGCTCTCCGGACTCAGTTTCCTTACCTGGAAGATGAGTACTTGAAGATGAAAAATGAGTTTGTAATCTGTAAAGTGACTGACAGATGGCACGGAGGTTGTTACTCTCTCTCTGCCCCTCTCCTTCTCGCTCTCGGTTCTGAGCCTGTCTCTGACCACTGCTACCTTTACTAGAGGGAATGGAAGAGCTAGTGTGACTCCCACCTGACTCCCCAGCTTCTGAGG